CTGGGATCGTGACCTGACCCGAAGGCAGACGCTTAACAACTGAGCCACCCAGGCGCCCCGAGAGAGAGAATCTTAAGTAGGCTTCATGCCCAGCCTGCAGCCTCACACAGGGCTGGATCTCATGACCCTGAGATCACCACCTGAGCCAAAATTCAGAATTAACTGACTGAGCCACCCAGGCGTTCCATCCCATTCTTTAAACATCTTTGTTGATAATCTTTCCACTATATCGGATTTAGTTTTTATCTCCTTACAATATATCACTACTTATGGAAACACACAGTGCTGTTTACTTGAGTATGTATGTCGAGTTGTGAATACTGCTCCCATCCCCAGGCCCCCATTTAACCGGCATTTCTGATTGTCGCTAGTGCAATGATGGAAGACATGCCAGAAGCCCTTCTCCTACAACTTGTGATCTGAGAGTTATAGTTCATCCTGCTGGCCTTCCATTTCCCTGATATCTGAAACCAGTCCGGAATATGAAGAGCCATGATTCTCTTCCAGCTTTCTTCCCAAGTCTGTTGTGCAAACTCAGCAGTGATCTTAATCTCTCTGCTTCTTAAAGGATCTCCTTTTAAACATATGTAATAATAACTATCTCACAGAAATATTGGTGTCTAATTAATTATTGTTTGTCAAAAGCTTTAAGATCTTCAGCTGGAAAGGGGATTGTGGACGCCTGCAGTATTCTCTTGGAGAGCCTGCATCTTGCTTCATTGAATGGAGCTAGTGTCTGTGTGTAATCAAATTAGGCATACTGCTATAGGCTTATGCTGTAATTAATGAAACCCATGCAGACTGAATGGAGTGATCAGTCTATTATTTTTAGATTGAATGATTAAGTCTGAAGAGCTTCAGTGTTTTTTCAAGCAGCTTCTTTTTCGGCTGACTATTGACATTTTGGTTCTCAATCTTGCTGTTAGCTTTGTGTCCATTTTTCTCGTGTCCTGCAGATTTCATTATAATACAAAAACTGTTGAATTTTTACAAATTCGTATTTTAAAGAGTAGAACTGAGTCTTATCTTGAAAAAGAAAACAAACTCAAGGTAATAAAAAAGCAAGGGGGATGGCACACAATTTATTGGGAGCCTGCTCTGTGTCAGGTACCATGGAGCACTCTACATATATGACCTCATTTAATTTCTCCCTGGCCACATGGTGAAGTTGGTGTAATCCCCATTTTAGGGATGAGGAAACAGGCTTGGGGAATTAAAATAATTTACTGGAGGTCAGAAACTCACGCTCTTTCCATGAGTGGCAGAAGCCTGTGTCTATGCAGCATGCCAGAAAGTGTGTTATTCAGAGTGGTGGTGATACATACCTTCAGTGTCTTGTTGTGTCTCTGCAACTCTCGGCATAGACTCTCCAGTTTGCTTCGAGCAAGGATAGCTCTGCTGTGTTCACTTTGTAACTGGTCCTTTTCTTTTTGGATTTGTACCTGTTTCTTTTGTAAGAGCTTTAACTTCTTTTGCTCAGTGCGATGTTCGTCCAGCTAGACACGAGAGGTGCAAACATAAAAGAAAATGGCAGGAATTGCTTTTGAGTTGCTAGAAAAGCAGCAAAAGAGGAAATACCTAAAGATCACTCTGTGGTTGTTGGAATCATTTTTTGCTATTGTCACCGCCCCTCTGCAATCAAATAAACTTCACAAATAGGACTTTGCGATACTTGTAGATATGGCTTTTAGAGCATATCATTTATAGGTTTTTCCTTATCATTATAATGATCCTGTCTTACTCTGATCTTCTTTTTGGTAGTCTAGAAATCATTTTCTTTCTCTTGAATCTCTCTAGTGATACTGGTCAATAGAGAAGGGCATGTCTTGGAATCTGTAGGCTGTCAGAATTCACGATAATGCCTTGCATTGGTGCAAGGGTCAACGGTGTGTCTGCTTGGTGTATATTTTGTGCTCAAAATTCTTTTTTTGTGCTACTTTTTTGTGCTACTTTTTGTGCTACTCAATTCTTTCTCAAAACAATCTTATAGCAACTATTCTTTTAAAATTAGGAAAGCATAAAACAACCTCCTGGTAAATGGAGGATGAAGTTTGTGGTTTGTGAAACAGGGAGAGAAGAGAGAAAGGACCTCTTGACTACCTACCATTGGTGATTTTCCACCAGAGCTTCAGAGGTAGCTGCTGCACAATTCAGCAGTGTGAATGGCAAGTATCCGTAACATGCCCTGCCCTCCGACCACCCCCAGCCTCCATGCTTATGGCCAATAAATCATTAAGAGAGAGTATATTTGGATTTTGAATGATCTATTATCTTTTTCTGAAATTTAGATATTGTTATTATTGTTATTGCCATTATGATTTAGACTTTATCTTTTGAAGATTAAATCATATGTCAGGGTTTCTCAACCTTAGCACTTAGAATATTGGGCCACATAATTTCTTGCTGTGGGGGGCTATCTTGGGCATCATAGGCTGTTTAACCTACCTACTGGATGTAGGTCCCTGACCTACTGGATGCCAGGATCACCTCCCACAATCGTAACATCCATAATATCTCCAGACATACATCGACTATTGGCCCTGATGAGGGAGCATTGTCCCATGTGGATCTACCTGAGTGCCAGGAGGAAGATACTCTACATGTGTTTCATAAGTTGGAAGTTGCTTGCTTATCAACGATGTAATGTTCTAGTTTTACTGCAAAGTCATATACGTTTCACATTTAGCTAGGTCTATCTTGCTTTGCTCTAAATAAAAGCCCTTAACTTTCTGACAATTTTTTTAAGAGCATGGCTAATTTTATTCAAATACTTCAGGCTTGTGAATACATATATGGTTTCTTAATGAACGAAAACAAACATATTGCAACTGAGTCAACTTCAGTCAGATACTTCCTGGCTTAGTGATTTAACGATGCACTTAGACACCATGGTACTTCTATACTATTGTGACAGGCATATTGGATTTTTATCTGCTCTTTTTCTTGCTCTCTCTTTTTTATTATTAAGTTAAAAAAGTAAAATTAATGCCAATTACTAAATCAGAATAGTATTAGTGATTTGTTGTAACTACATTAAAACTGAGGAAACTTAGAAAAACTATTTCTTCCAGGTCATGTGGTATCTTTATTAATAAATGTATCCTTATTTGTTAATGAAAACAATAGTAGGTAATATTACAGGATTCAGAATCTGCAAGGGTGAGTTAGCTAGAGTGGCAGTTTGATTCACAGCTTTGAATTTGATGATTTATTCTATGGTAATACTTACACGTCGGACACCTTCTATATTAATGTCCAAATCAGTGAGCAATGAAATAGGTTTTAGTCCCCAGGCAAAAGATTGAAATTATTCATAATTTTTCCTTTCTGAAAAGGAAATGTAATGGGTTTTTAGCCAATTTTCTCCTATTCATTTTTTATAGAATGATCTTTTGGGTTTTAAAGTTTATTATAGGACATGATATAAATGCCAAAGTATAGTAAGTAAGGCTTGAGTTGAGTAGGCTCTCTGGAAAGATAACCTCTGTCAGGTGACTCCTGACTGGGAGGTTGAGTAGGTGGAGGGATTTCCTAGGGTGAACAGTTGTGGCCCAGGAAGAAAATCTCAGACAGACGGGAGAGGTGATGCTTTTCTGGTTTGCTGCTGTGGGCTGCAGAACCCCACATGGCTTTCCGGACGAGGCTGGAATGCTGCCCAGTCCAGCCAAGTATGGAGCATGGCACTAGAAGCGAAACATGAATGGCTTTGGTGGAAGGAGGTAAATCGAAGGGATAACAATGTGGAAAATACCGAAGAGAACAAGGATGGACATGTCAGTGAGAATGGGGGCCTTACTTTTGGGAAAAATATTTTTGAAACCTACTTGTTTTATGGCGTTGAAATTGCTCACGGACGGTTAATAGCTGATGTTAAGCAAGCTACGATGAAAACAAGTTGATACACTGATACTCGCTTTATAAATTTCTACCATTCTTTTAGAAAGTGCTATGACCATTTAAAAAAACCCCTAAACAAACAAAAGGCATTCATACTGTTTGATTCAGTAATCCCAATTTTGGATTGGGATCATAGATCATAAAATGAAGGAGAAGGAACAGATCTAATGCATGACGATGTTCAGTGCAGCAGTATTTGGTAAAGCAAACAGTGGACAGAATCTAATGTCCCCATATTAGAGACCCAGGAGATAATGGCCACTTCCTGGAAAATGACATAACTATTACAAAATATAATTATAAAGACTCTAAACTACATGGGCAAATGTCTGTCGTATGAGCCAACAGAACTGGATACCAAATTATATATGTACCTTATGGAAGTAATTGTTATAAAAAGTATCTCTGCATATATAGCAGAATGAATGGGAGTGAAGACGGATAAATTAAAGTTTGTGTTTTAGGTTATGGGATTAGAGATGTGTTTGCTTGTGTCTGCAGCATTTCTCATATCATTGTGATGTGGGGTTTATGTGATTAAAAAACAATTAAAAAGTATTGGCAGAGTTAAACAACCAGCCAGTGACTCAGGGTTTTAGAGTCCCTCCGGGTCCATTGCAGGACAGTTCAGCCCAAGAAGATGCGGCAACGTGACAGGAAGAAAGGGACGAACGGGGACCACAGGACGAGAGTTAGAGAGAAAAAGAAAGAAAACAAGTCACTTGTTAAACTCCATCAGTAGGGATAAGATGAGGGGTTTGTGCACCTGAAGCTCGTTCAGTTTTGGAGGCCCTCTTTTAAAAACAAAACCCACAAAAAACCCCAAAATTAAGAAAAGAGAATTGCGTCCAGGGCCTCAGAGGGGCCCATGCCAGTGAGAGGCTCTGAATGAAACTTCGTTAGCGGCAACGTAAATCTGCCTTCAACCCGCCGCCTGGAGGAAGCGTTTTGCTGTGTGAACTTAGTGTCATACTCCTGTCACTGCTTGTCCAAAAGAAATAAGTGAGTGAAAACATATTTTTTAAAGAAAGCAAGCAGAGGGACGCCTGGGTGGCTTAGTCTGCCTTCGGCTCAGGTCATGATCCCAGGGTCCTGGGATCGAGTCCTGCATCCGGCTCCCTGCTCAGCCTGCTTCTCCCTCTGTATGCCGCTTCCCCTGCTTGTGTTTCTCTCTCTGACAAATAAATAAATAAAATCTGAAAAAAAAAAAAAAGGAAGAAGATGGGAAGGAGAAGCACGTTGGCTAGCCTCACATCAGAGGGTGTCACATCCCAGCAGCGGGTCGCACACCCCGGGGAGTAGTGGCCCAGACCTCAGATGGCACTCCTGTAGCAGAGAGGCTGGCCTCACTGAACCCTCCTCTTTTTCCCAGCTGACCCATTGTGGGAGTACTGGTGGGAGGCAGTGATTCTCTGATGTCTCTGAGTGGCTTCCCTGCCTCCCACTGGCCTTATCCAGAGGGATCCTGCCTGGCGAGGACCTAGAACTAGGCACAAAGCAATCCACATCAAACACCACCACAGTGGAGGGTGGGGAGAAGAATGTAGATCAAAGAGAACAAAGGAATGGTTGAATGAATGAATGAATGAATGAACAAATAGAGTTTTCAAGACCAAATGAGAAGGTGTCACAAGCTGAGGGTAGGATAAACTCATCCAACTGCCTTCCTGAGGGGGCCCCTCAAAACACCTAGGCATAAGAACTGAATGAAAGTTTGCCTTTAGGTCGAGTATATTTCTGTTTTATTACAAACCTAAGAAGAACTTTAAAATATCCACAATTTTCAATGATCTCTAATTCTCTCTTCCAGTCCCCAAATTACACATATAACTGAAGGCAGAATAGACTCCAACTCTATCCTCTTTCTTTGTTGTGCTGTTTTTCCTCAGTTTTTCTGTTTCTTTTTCCTTTCAAAAAATTCTGCTTTTATGGATTCTCGCTTTGGCTTGTGTGAAGTAACCAGCTATCGTCTCTAATGAGGTACATGAAAAACGAATGGCCTTTTCTCAGCTCTAACCAGAGCCTGAATCTTTCGGACACAAAAAGCTAATCAGAGATCTTACCAATTCAGCATACTTCTTGAATAAAAAATCAAGTTTTTCTTCAGGTGTTTGCAACTTGTTCAGATTTTGCATTAGCAGGTTGGCTTCTTTTCCTTAAAAAAAAAAACAAAAACAAAAACCATAAAGACATTTAGAAAAATGTTTTAAATCTTTTGAAAATAGTCAAAAGAATAAAAAATGCTGACTTTATATATCACTCCTTCCCCGCATTGATTAATTTAAAAGAAAAGAAGCAGAGCAGCCAATCAAAACTTCTGATGCCCACCAAACTGCCAACATTGACGCATGCGGTTCTAGAATTCCAGCCCAAAGCACAGAAATTTGACAGTTTAGTTTGCCATTTTTGGGTTTTGGTTTTGTTCTTTTAGTACCTTTTTTCTCTTTTTGGGGGGAACCAACTGTCTTGTTTCTGTGCATGAATGCATTCCATGAAGTTTGGGTGGGAATGTTCTGCTCATATTTCCTACCTAGCAGAGAATAAAATCAACATAGAAGGAAAACCAAGCCAAGACACAGAGGGCCTTCCCCACAGGCCTTTTTGTATCTCTGTGACAATGGGTTCAGCCTTCCTGGCCCTTCCTTCTTCTCACCCAGGCCTTAATCTTTGTTGGCAGTCTCCTTTTCTGACCTCACTTGGAGTTTATGCTACATTTTAAGACTCATCTGTTCATGATTATTTGATAGTGAATCTCAGATTCTTCTCTTTCCTCATTGTTCTTCCTTTTGTCTTCTTCAGCTCAGCCTCCCCGTTTGCCTTTTTGTGGGCCTGGAAATCTTGTTTTCAAGTAGCCATTGGGCTGAGTGTTGGTGGGGACGAGAGGGACCCTGGGGCCTGCATGTACCACTGATGATATCTTTTCAAAGAGTCTGATCAAGGTGGAACAGAGTGACAGCCACTCTGTCTAATTAGAATAGGAAGGTCAAGCCACACAGTAGAGGCCACGTTTCCTGATGTAAATCTATGTAAGAATATTAACAACTTTGACAACCTTTCCCCAAGAACAGGCATTTCCTTTTTGCCAGAATATTTGCTTTTATCCTGGGGAGGCAGATAAATCACGGAATTAGGCTTACCATATGAAATATACGACATGGGACATGCTTATACTAAAAAAATTTTTGCATTGTTTACTGAAGTTCAAATTCCCCTTGGCATCCTGTATTTTTATTTGCTAAATCTGGTAACTCCAATGCCATCAAAGAATTTTAGGTCTAGAAGGACTTTAAAGAGCATCCAGACAACTGGTTGATTTTATAGATTAAAAATCTAAGGCCCAGTGAAGGCCAAAGTTACATAATTCGTACTGGCAGAGCCAAGGCTTGGATCCAAGGTTTGTCTACTGGCTCTAAATCACTTCATTCCCATGTGGAATTTGGATGCCAGGAAACCCAGAGAAATAAAAGGAAACTTCTTCTTAAAAAACATGACCTCATTCCTAACAGCTGGTTTTGTCCATCTCTGCCCAGTGAGTCAGTTCGGATTAGAGACACGGCCTACGACGGGGAGAAGGTGGGTGTGAGAAGTGCCCGCCAGCTCTCCAATTGTGGCCTGTGGCTTATCGTGCTGCCCCACCTCTCCTGTGCCTGCGCTCAGAGCTATTTCTCGAGCAACAGGGAAGGATGTGACATCCCTTCACCCTTGTCTTCAGTCTGGGAAAGGGTCCCACATGAAGACTGTTGTCCCAAGTGAGTGTCGTCTATTAGAAGAAAGAGATCGTTGTGGATCAGATTTGGCCCAGGAGCCAGATCACGTTTGGTCCATGGCAAGTTCTCAGTAAATGTCAGTAATAGTGGAACAAAGCAAAGCCAACCTGTGCCCACTAGTAGCATGTAAATTAAATGAACACTGTCCTGAAGACAACTCTGTGATTGACTGGAGGACAGACAGGTCTTACTCTCACCTGTGCCTCTGAGTATATGCTCAGGATACCTCTCAGTAGGGGTATGGTCACATAAAACCATTATGTGTCTCATTGCGGGGAGATAGAAACATTTGGGTGAGTCCAATGGGTCTCTTTTTCCCTCCACACGAAGTACCTTCTTTCTTTTTTATTTTCTTTAACTGTGAGAAGAGGGTTTCATTTTGTTCTGTTTTGTTTGGGGCACACTCACTGAGGTATCTTTCTGCTCTCATGCCCCGTTATTTTGTGTAGAAGGTCAACATTCAGAAGCATCAATTTATCCTTCAAAAATGATTTTGCCCTTCAACAACAACAACACAAAAACCCAGGAAATTGGAGATAAGCATGTACAGAATGAATAAATTTGTGACATCAGGGAGCTTAATTTTTAAACTTCCATTGGTTTGCTGGACTAGAATGCTGTGTGGGATTATGGAGGAGAAGAGGAATAGACAGAGATTGCTCATCTTCTAATAAAGGCTGTAATTACAGTTCTACAGAAATGGGGTCATTTGGTGATAGTGTCAGACAGAAGAGACAAACTGACTTTTTTTAGGGACATTTTATTGGGAGGGAATGACCTGCCTTTTCCCCAATGTGTCATTCCAAAGCAGTGTGATTGTGAGATTAGTCATAAAGAAAGCAAGGGACAGACCTGAAGTCCCCATTAAAGCTGGAGAAGGCACATGAAGGGCATATGGCCATCCCTCCACAAAATAGTCAGTTAGTAGTAAGTCTACAAGGAGGTAGGACCACCTGAGCAACAAGAACAGCCATGTCACACATGGCTATGGCCAATGGCACAGTTGTAGACTGAGGGAGTATTGTAATACAAAGGAATGATTTTTACATCAAAGAAATTAAAACATTTAAATTGAGATAATGAAATCAGCTATATAAATGAGGACTGGGATTTTTCTTAAACTTTTAGCATAGTGATAACTGTTTATACTAAGTTTATGCAGATTTGATGAGTGTCTAAAACCTGGCTTTTTCTCTTCCAAAATTATCTTCTAGAAATTTGGGGCTAAAATTTGGTCTTGGACACACCAGTGTGCCTCTCTTTCCCCTTCCTGATTTCCATGTGTTATGGCAGAAACTTAAAGCTGGAAAAGATTGTGAATGTTCTGTTTCAAATGTTAGACCCAGATTCATATTTCAATGTTAATTTTGTTTTCTAACACAATTTAAAAATAGTGACTATGATACAAATAATTCCTGCGTATCTATAGGTATCTTTTGAGAGAAATAAGATTTGTGTTTGTTGATAAAAAGGACAGTGTAGTTAAATTCACACTGGACTAAGGATAAGGACTAGACCCTGGGTTCTAGAACAGACTATGTCCCTGACTAATTGAGTTGACTTTTTTATAGAGTCTTCAACTCTCTGGGCCTAAATTTCCCTGTCTATAAAATTATTAAGTTGACTAAATGGGTTCTGAGTTTAGCATTTAGGATTTGTTGATTCCATGACTGGAATAATTTTAACCATTTTTAGCTTGATTTAGACAACAATAAAACTAACAATGTTTGGATGGTATCTTTGTCTTCCCAATATGTTTTGAGGAAAAAAAAACAACAGACTTTTAAAATTTATCAAGATTCTCTTATCCCTCATTGTCACCTCTCATAGTCTGGTTTTTGTTTGTTTTGCTTGGTTTTAATGGCTTATCAGTTTTGAAAATACTGCCTACTCTGTATTGTTTTTATTTGATCAACATTTTATATCTTCTGTGTTTTAGTCACCTTGGTATATGTACTTGGAACTTTGGCCTCTCACTCAGTTGGGGAGAGGACCTGGGCTTCTTATTAGGTCAGTTGATGATATGTTTGAACTATTAGCAATTTCTTGGCTATAACTATAAAGAAAACTTTCTTAAAAGGAAAAAAAAAAACCTTCAAGAGTCTAATGATGAGGAGATTATTCCAGAGAAAACAAAATAAAGCAAAACCTTAGTGAAAAAGAAAAATACCAGGAAGAACGGTAGGAAATGAATACATCTATTCTTAATTCTGATCAGAAGAGAGTGCTAATCATTTTGCTCAAGTTATAGTTTTCTCTCCCATTTGACGTATTTTTAAACCTCTCTCTCTGTTTAGGACATGGCCTAAAATCTAGCTTCCCTGTGACTCTACTCATGAACCTTGCAGTCTCTGTTGATTCCTCTTTTCCCTGAATTCTTCTGGTCTCCTACCATCTCTTCCAAAAATTTAGCATTTGTATCCAGGCAACAGTTTATCCCCCTTTCACAGTGAAACTAGCAATCAAGCTAAAATGGAGAAACAAATCATCTGGGAAAGTGCCCATTCTAAGGAAGAGTAAGTAAATGGCTTTCTAAAGACATTTCAGAATCCACTGTCCTAGTCAAGGTCCTCTGAAAGGTACAACTGAAAGTCACCTGTAACTAAAGACAAACCATTAACTGAGCTATGGTAAATGCTCCTTAACCAATATACCGGTTAGTTTGTATGTCTCTTCAATCCTGCAATATTAGTGACTTCAGTTCTGCCCCCTTGCTTTCTTTATGACTAATCTCACAATCGCATCAACTAGTTGAGTAACCTTTTTTGTAGACTCTTAAACTCTCTTAAGCTTCAATTTCCCTGTCTATAAAATTAGTGGGCTGACTAGATGTATTCTGAACTCAGACTGGACCTGTGGATCAGCTTTGTTTTCCTCCCAGGCTTATGCTTCAAACCTCTGATTTCCTACTCAATCAGTTATCAACCTGAATGTCAGTATGTATATTATATTTTATCATTGTTCTGTGCTTATTACTATGGGGTGCTCGTGCAGCCCACGTACTGTTGGCAGAGAAGTGATTAATAAGACATTTGTGAGTCTGGAGGATGGGGTGGGGGAGGTAAGGGGGTTACTTTAGATGTTGACAGGATGTGTCAGGGTGCTGTCTATTGGGGAATCTGTTTTTGTTTCTTTCAATTCAGATGCCAAGGGGAAAGTGACTCTATCAACTAAAGAGATTTAAAAATGCTCCTCCAACTGCTCTGGTGTATAGTGTGTCGATTGTGGGAGGATATGCAGTCTCTAAAGGAAAAACAAGTCCTGGGTACTTGAGTTGTAGAGACATTTCCCAAATAATCAAAGGTGTTCTATGAAAGAAGGGTGTCTTTGGTCCAGTAAGTCCAGGAAATGTTGTAAACTATGCCCGTCTCTACTGCAGATTTTCATGGTATATATTAAAGGTCAGAGAATTCTGGCAGTAAGGGAACTTTAACTTTGTCTGAAATCTCAAATATCCCAAAGTATATACTATGGAAAATTTTGGGTTAGAGAGCCAGAACATTTCAACATCTCAAAAATACCAATAAAGCAGATATTATCTGATAAACATGCAATAATGAAAGACTTGTCTTTGATCAAGTACCTAAGCAAAATCTAAGGATATATTTTCAGGTACTGGTCAAATGATTTACTAAAATTCTATAAAAGGTCCAAATAGATTCTAAAGAAGACCACAGCCAGCACTTCACTTTTTCTTCAAAAGGATGGAGGAAGAACTTTCTGAAACAACAAAATCATTGCTTCCACAATCTATCTGTATCAGAACCACCCTTGGTACTTTGGCTCCACTCCAATCCTCCCAATTCTGAATTTCTGTACTCAGGAACAGCATTTTTCATAAATTCTGTATTTGATTCTAATGCACAGTTAAGTGCTAAAGCTACTTGCAGACAGCTGCAAGTACTGTCTTGTTGAAGCTGAAATCATGTTTAAAATGGTGGTTGCATATTTAGATTAGCCTAAAAATGTTTAAGTCCCATAATGTAGCTGAAACATTATAGTGCTTAGAGGAATATGCTGATGGTGTTTGGAGGAATGGCATGGAAGGGTCAGCATTCACATACATGTAGTTAGGGTGGATACTAGTGGGCACCCGGCTTCACAGTCATTGGTTCTGATCAAACATTCAGTTGAAATCTGGTAACTTGGAGATAGTGGCAGAATTAGAGTTGTGGAATGTTTTCTGTCTCTACAATTATTTTGATTATTTGGTAATTAGATGATTACTATAGATTTTGAAATAACTCATGGAAGACAGAGAAGAAACCATAATTGGTCATCTTTAATTTTACCCCTAATTTTTTCATATCCCAATACAACACATACACATTCCTCTGTATAAATAGTTGTAGAGTGATAAAGCAAAAGAACTTTCTGGGTTAGGAACACTTGAAATCATAAACCTCCATGCTGTGATTATGTACTGTCTTATGGGAAGTTTAACAATGACTAATACAAAGGGACATTTCTGAGATGTCTTGGATAGATAAGGAAAAACAGCTTTTGAACACAGAGCAACTTTATTCTCTTTCCCAAAGATCCAAAACACTTGAGTGATTCCAGTCTTGCACTTTGCAACTTGGTAGATTTATTTATTTATTTATTTATTTATTTATTTATTTATTTATTTTAAAGATTTTATTTATTTATTTGAGACAGAGAGAATGAGAGAGAGCATGAGAGGGCAGAGGGTCAGAGGGAGCAGACTCCCTGCTGAGCAGGGAGCCCGATGCAGGACTCGATCCCGGGACTCCAGGATCATGACCTGAGCCGAAGGCAGTCGCTTAACCAACTGAGCCACCCAGGCGCCCAACTTGGTAGATATATTTAAAGTATTATTTGGGTTATTTTATTCTTTATGTTGGGTGAATCATGTGTCCTATTTAAATGTGTCTTCTAGCCCTTCTTCAAAGCATTGCCCGCAATGGGTTTTAAGTACCATAGTGATATCCCATGCCATCAGAGACGTATTTTGGGATTTATAGATAGCTTGTTATTGGAATCTGAACACAGTTCTGACTCCAGTGCCCATGATCTTTCACTTTGCCACACTATCTTACAGAAATGAATAAGACATTATAGCTGTCCCTGATAGATTCCCACCTCCCTTGGGAGGCAGGTGTATAAACAAATGATTGATGCAGAAAATTTGTTGGAGAGGTAAGGAAGGTGATGCTAACTCTAGCTGGGCATGTCTGGGAATGTACCATATAGGAAGTGGTATTTGTACTGAGTGTCACAGTGAAATTCACCAAGGAAGACAGGCAGAGGGGCTCTGCTATGTACAGTAACATGCTTTCACTAGTAGCTAAAAAATTAACTCTCTCATCCTTCTTTAACAGCCATTTTTGGTGTAGAATCCCTCATGGTCTCCTAACAATTTTCCCATGCCTGTTCTTAGCACTTATCCTATATAACAGTTAGATTACATATCTGTTTTTCTCTCTATATTTAGAGCTACTTAACCAAAGGGCCTTGCTGACTTATTTATCTTTATGTACCTAGCACAGTACCTCATAAAGTTGAGGCATTAATAAATATTTGCTGAATCAATAAACTAATGAGAGTAAAATTATTTTGTGCAATTTTTGACATTCTATAATTGATACATTTTTAAAGTTTTGTGAAATAAAAAATATTTTATGTAGTAATAGAACATACTACTCAGTGATCTAATTGACAATCATTTTATATACAAACCATCTCTAGGGGCACCTGCGTGGCTCAGTCGTTAAGCGTCTGCCTTTGGCTCAGGTCCTGATCCCTCTTCTTCTTCTCCCTCTCCCACTCTCCCACTCTCCTTGCTTATGTTTCCTCTCTCTGTCTCTTTGTCAAATAAATAAAATCTTAAAAAAAAAACCCGTCTCTATATTTATATTTTGCTTAAATCCAGATTCCACTAGCTTTGCTTTAAGTAATTTTCCTTTCATTCCCTTGTTCATTCGTCCTTATAACAAATATTTATTGAGCACCTAGCAGGTGTCATCCACTATCTTAGACACTAGGCATCCAGTGATGTCTGAATACACACACAGTGCCTGTTCTTGATCTGAAAGAGCTAAAAGAAGACATGCATTAACCAAATAATCACAAAAAGTAAATGTACAGTCTCAAAAGCTGCTAAATGCAAAGAAAGAAAGATACACGGTACCACAGAAACAAGAAAACAAGAAGACCTTATCTAGGGTTGGGCTAAGAAAATGCCATTTGAATTGTAAGCTGAATGTTAAGTGCCCAAAGGGCTGAACTTTAAGGATTTCTAGGTAGAGAAAATAGGATGTATGTGGGCTTTGTGGGGGATGGAGTATGCTGGGTTCAAAAAACGGGTAGAGAAGATCAGAATGATGAGCAATTAGGCAGTGGTCGTAGTGGTGGTGATAGGGATAGGGAGTTCAGGAAGGAGATATTGTGGGGTAGAGTGATAGGAGATAAAGCTAGAGACACTGGTGTGGGTTAGACCATTAGGGCCTGAAAGACCATGTTAAGAATTTTAGTCTTTGTCCTAAGAGCAGTGGGAAACCATTGGGGAGACAGGGTAAGTGAGTAACATGTTGAAAAGTTCACTTTCTCTCTTTTGAAGGGAAGTGGCTAAACACAAGTATAACAAGGAAAGTGTGGGGAGACCCTGAAGGAAGCTATTACAGTAATCCAAAAGTGAGATGTGGCTTTTAGTAAAGGTGGGAGCAAGTGCCCCTTTTTAGGAATCATCAAAGAAAAGGCATGCATTAGAACATAACTACTTGCCTAATCCTTTTAGGATTTTCTTTTCCAACTTTTGCTCTTTATTGCTGACAGGCTCTTTGGCTGTGGTTGGCTCTCCAGAAGCCATGGGTTCTCTCTCTGTCTCTTCAGTGGCCTCATCACAGTCCCCATCCCCATTGTCGGGTGGTTCTATGTTCTCAGGCTGCTCCCTTGTCTTGGTGGGACCCTCTTTTTCAGTAGCAGACCCATAGGTATTAATTATGTCTTCTAATTGTCGATTCAACTCCTCAGAGATATCATGAGCTCCCTGTTCAGACTGCACACCTGTCTTCCCCTCTGGTGCTTGAAGTGGGGTTGAGGAATCCTTGTCATCTTGCTTCTCCAAGCCATTTTGATTGGGTAATGATGAACTTTCCCCTGGAGGTGTTGACTGGGGTTCTCCTGACAACTGTACAGAGTGATTCGTCTCCATACTGGGAGTAGTATCTAGTGGTAAGCATAGTCAAATTTTATATAGTTAACCCAGTTATATGTAAAATGTAAGGATATCCCCAAAAGGGCACCTACTAATTACAGTTTCTAACATAGAATGAATGTATTTTCACAAACCATCGATATTTCAATTAATTAGGTAGAAACAGAGGAAAGCCATTTTTCCAAAGCGAGTCATAATATTAGCGTATTTTTGGTTTTGGTCTTTAAATTCCAGTAGAAATTCCTATGATTGACATTAATGGAGTAATTCAAGATATTGTTTTTCGTGTTATATTTGTCATATTGCTTAAGCCAACTTGTGTTACCATTCTCTTACATTATTCTATGTAGATTTATGGTCATTGGAAGTACATAGATGTCTATATTTAAAATGTTTAAAGTGCCGTTATTTTTTTTCTAAGTGAAAACATTTAATACGAGAGCAACTGAACTTACTAAAATCACTCATAACAACAGCAGTCCTAAACTCTATTCTAATTCATAAGTGAAGATTTGATAAATATGAGTACATTGATACAAATGAATTATTATACTACAGACAGGAAATACTTTCTTGCTTTTCAGGTATTTTCCTTTTCTCAGATGAGCAACACATAATTTATACATCAGCAAGATACATTTTCTGAGTTTCAAACTAGCTTCATTTTTGGAATAAAACGGAGAATGGAGGAAGGTACAAATTAACCAACAAACTAGTTTGGAACCATGGTGATGGTCATAAAAATAATTTCTTGAATTTCAATAATACTTTTTTGTTCCAATATAAAAACTGACTTTCTTTTAGGAAAAAAAAAAAAACAGATTACAACCCTTTTTTTCTCAGTCAAGAAGCTCTAGGATAACTGTAATTTTTAAGAAATAGCAATGTTTAATGAATAGGAAGGGAATGAACTTGGGAAACAATCCACATATAATATGACCTCTTTGGAAATAGGGGCTGAAGTACAAGCTCAGTCAAAGAATACCAGGATTTCTGGCTATCTCCATTTCTTGGGTTGCAATAGAGTTGACTTAGGCTTTTAAGCGATGGTGCATTTTATTTGTCAATGGTATCTAATGGCAATGCTGCTAATTAACAGCATAAAAATATGATGGGGTTCTCATAATGCACAAATTTTGCTGTTGTGGTGGCCCAAGAGGAAAAACAAAAACATACTGTTCCATGCACTGCACAGCTTCTTTCTCTTGTTCTCATGGCAGGGGATGTCAAGTGCTTGGACCACAGTAAGAACGGAAAAGTCAGCCTACAGCCAGTGCTGCCCACTGATGGCCCTCATCAAGTACTCATTCAGTTCGAAGGAAGTACTTCTTTTCTCTTACCCACTTTAACGCACCGACTTTATTATCAAATGATGCAGTAAACAGCCTTATTGTTTTCATCACTGGCATTTCTTTATCCTGACCCCTACTTTTTGGGCACACTCATCTATATATAACATACGCCTCCCCGAAACTCTGAGAAAGATACATGGCACCTGCTGTCCAGCCAGAAGTTATTTTAAGCTCTTCTAAAAGGAGCCATGACATTTAGCACTTCTTCAAAAATCAAGGGAAGAGAATCCTTTTAAAATCAGAACTAAAAGCAGTAAACATGTACTGGCTTAAATACATATGTGGGTTTTAAAGTGTTAGGGATCCTTCTGAGGAAGGAATAAAATCTAAAGTTAAACCCCAAATTCAAAGCAATGAATTTAAAACTGACTTTTCACAGGAGTTTTAGTATGGTTAGTCTAAACACAAAAGTTGGGTTGTATTTGATTTATTCTTCATTCCTCAGAGGCCACAGCCATTGATGTTTTTAATATTAATTCCATGGATATCCTTTAAACTCAAAGCCCACATTTACTTTAAAACAGAATAACTGAGTCATTGCAAACCACAACACAACTCAATTCCTAAAAATAGCCTCAAGATAAATCAACAAGAGGGGAAAAAAAGTCAAAGAACTCCACTACTTTTAAGTTGTTCCTTTCTGTATGAATTGACAGCAAGAAATTATTTCTAAATTTTATCTTCTTAATACACTTTATTGCCTTTTTTTTTTTTTTGCTCCTCTGAGAATTTTTCACTTGTATGGGGAACCCAGCAGATTATCACACACATCCCTTCCTGAGTAACACATTTCAATTATAAATAAAACAATGGAAAGTTCTTCCACAGTTCAGCAGCAATCTCAAAGTTGCAAGTTTCAAACCCCACAAACCGCATCCTACACCTTCTCACAGGGCTTGGGGGAGTGTTTGTCGCACTTACCAGAAGACAAGGAGCTAAGCAGAAAGAGAAGGAGAGGCAAGAGGCTGCAAAAAGCTAGTCAGAGGAGCGGCGACAACAGGAGACAGGCAGCTGTGTTCTTTCAAGGGAGAGAGAAACCACACACACACACACACACACACACACACACACACACACACGCGGCAGGAGAGCAGGGAGGGGGTGGGGAGGAAAAGGAACAGTGTATAACACAGCAAGAGAGAAATACACCCAAGTTTCAGTAGCTGTCTCCGGGGCAAATGTCTGGGGAAAGAGAAACAGCTGATAGATATCAGACTCTCCATGTTTTATCCTTTAAAAAATTTAAACTCTCTCTATAAGCCCCTCTGTTAACACAATTTTTCACCGTTATTCTTTTGGGCAGAGATCATATTTTCTTATTCCTTAGTTTGTTTCCAGTGTGGTCCATGATTCATCTTTTTTCCCCTTCTTATGCTAGTCTAATTAGCGTCCGATTTCTCATAGGAATCATGGGGGGAAAATCCAACGGCATAACAAAAAGGAGGTGGGAGAACTACTTGAATTCTGATGTCATTGGTTTGTTTGTAAAATTTGAAATACAAATGGAGGTGGCTGTCTTGGTGCTGAGTTTGGTGGCATCTTCACAGACATGGTAATTGGCATAATTGGCCTCAGATCCCACATCTTAAGCATGTCACCAACTTCACATCTCAGATAAGCCCTTGGGGAGGCAGTCACTTTTTCTTTCTGAGTTGGAGCCTTTTCCACCAACTGCTTTTCCAAGTTTTTCCACCCTTCTTACGTCTTCAACTTGCTCCTTAATCCTCCTCAGAAAAAGAATCTTCTCTTCATTCACCACAAAATGCCCCTTTCTCTTACCTTACATCCATGCCCTTTTCCTTCTTTTTCTAGAAAACATGTTCCCACACTTTTCCAAGGCAGGTTTCTCCATCAGAGTTCCTGCTCTTGGGACTGGCTGGGCATAATGATACCCATTGTGCTATGCAGAATAGTGCCACCAGAAAGATGTCCACATCCTAATCCCAGGAACTGATAATACGTTACTTTACAAGATGAAAGAGACGTTGAGATTTTACATATTTGATTAAATTAAGGATCTTGAGATGGGGGGATTATCCAGAACTATCTGGGTGGGCCCTGTGTAATCACAAGGGTCCTTAAAAATAAAAGAGGGAAGCAGGAGGGTCAGAGTCAGAAAAGGACTCCAAAAGAGGTCAGAGTGATGTGGGGCCACAAACCAAGGGATTTGGGAAATGAATGCAATTCTGCTGACAACTGATTTTAGCTCAGTGAAACTCATTGTGGAGTTCTTACCTCCAAAACTGTAAAATAATAAATTTGTGTTGTTTTAAAGCTATTAGATTCATGGTAAATTGCTACAGTAGTAAAGGAAAACTAAAATATTCTGCCCCCAAACATTTTCTCATGCCTTTCTCTGAGTTCAGGGGAGGCATAAGTTATATATAGATAAGTGTTCTCAACAATAGGCTGTTGCTGCATCATTTGATGATAAAGTTGGTAAATTAAAATGGGTGAGAGAAAAAGTACTTCTTTCTAAATTAATATGTCCTTGGTGAGGGCCACAAATGGGTGGCATACTGGACTGCATTAAACTGGTGTAGTTAGATCTCTCAGTGAATACAAAAAGTAAGTCAATTCTTCTCAAATTTAATTTAGTGTTGAAATTAATTTAAACGAAAAAAAAAGAACTTACCATGATTGAAATAAGTTATTATATTATCATTTTTACCAATATGTACTAATGTAAAAATAGATATAAACTTCTGCTGCTTATAGTTATTATATGATAGAAATTTTAAGTATATATTATTTTAAAAACCCTACAAAATGAGTAAGTAAAATTCAAATGAACATTACTTTTATGTGACAGATAATATTTTGCTGAACCCAAACTGCTACTTGCAACATGAATATGGTACTGCCTGCTGGTCCTACTGAGTTTATGACACTCTTCTAGAGTGTACCTTATGAAATGATTCGATTTCTTCAACACTTGGTCCGTCCAAATGATTACATAAGTTTCATTCACATTATAGGCCATAATTTCAACTGGACTTCCTTTGATACTAATGTATAATTTATAGCTCTTTCTTACTTTCTTGCAATTATTAAAATAATACTACTTGCATACCCTCACCCTGGCCATAACCCTAACCCTAATCCTAACCCTAGATCTGAGAAAAAAGTAGAAAAGAATGGACTATTACTCAGCCATAAAAAAGAAATGAAATCTTACTATTTGCAATGACATGAATGGAGCTAGAGATTATTATGCTAAGTGAAATAAGTCAGTCAGAGAAAGACAAAAACCATATGATTTCACTCATATGTGGAATTTATAAAACAAAACACATGAACAAAGGGGGAGAAAAAAAAGAAAGAAAAAGAGAGGCAAACAAAGAAACAGACTCTTAATTGTAGAAACCAAACTGATGGTTACCAGAGGGGAGGTGGGTGGGGGGATGGGTTAACTAAGTGATGGGGATTAAGGAGTGTGCTTGTGATGAGCAAGGGTGTTGTATGGAAGTGATGAATGACAATATTATACACCTGAAACTAATGTTACACTATAAGTTAACTAACTGGAATTGAAATAAAAACTTAAAAAAAAAGTAGTGGTACTTTGAGCTAAGTTGATAGATATACACATGATAGTGATGGCACCAAATGACAGTTATCCAGGTGATCTAGGGTAGGCTTATACATTTTCAATTATTATTAAAATGAATACAAACACACAAACTTGTAGCTCTCTAGAATCCATCTCTAGCCTGGTAGAGGCCCAAAGAACTGGGAACAGTTCTTTGTAAAGAGAACAAATTAATAATTTAATAATTAATAA